CTCCTCGGCCAATCCATCTGCAGTTGAATTCCGAGTCGAGGTAACTTCTCACCACCAGAGCATTATATGGCGGTGCACCGTCATGTTGGAACCATACTGTAGTACCAATTTCAGCTTCTGTACGCCTGATGTCAGGCATCACATTTTCGTGTAACATTTGCAAGTATGAAGCGCCTTAAACAATTTAATAATAAAAGTTGTTCTTGTAGCCGAACCTCTTTAAAGGGACGATAGTTGTTTTCCTTTAAAATCTTGTGCAAATAATACTGCGACAATTTGCATGTCTAGGCAATTTGACTTGTGGACGTCTGAGGATTTCGGTGCACACATTGCAAAACGTTGAAATTCGTGCCAGTGATTCTGAGCGCCGACTAGAATTTTGCACATAGTACCTGACACACTTGGACATGTGGCAAACGGTTTTTACGTATGAAGCCGTATTTCACTTGAACGGAAATGTGATAAGCTCTATTCGCTGGGCCGTGGAAAACCCAAGAAACTTTGTTGGACCGAAGTCGCTTCACAGTCTCAAGGTGCTAGTATGGACTGGTATTGTGCACGGCAGGATTGTCCGGCCGTACATTTTTAATGGAAATGTAACAGCAATATGATCCAATCAGATCGCGTCAGGGGTCAGAGGGAATTTACTTGCTTAAGGTCACGGATGAGAGGGACGAGACGCTCGACTACGATGAAGCAATCACCCTGTACATCGAGTGCCATCCAGCAACCCCTGAGTCCCTGCAGCTTGACTCAGGCAACGATCTGTGATCCGTCGGAAGATTTGTCTAGGCGGCATTCTTGGTGACCGAACAATACGCCGTAGTTCACCCATGTATGACTCAAACGTAAAGGCCGAATATAGGTCCAGCTCGCCCCGAAGTCGTACATCGTCAGCCAGGTGAGTCAAACAGTGCGTGTTGTACACAATCTCTTACTCACCGTTAATCGCCGTAAACTGGTTCAGCATGTTGTGGATCATCTGTTGAACGAAATCCGCATACTGCTTGCATTCCGTGAGAAGTGACAGAAGGTAGATGCAGATTGAAAAGTTCAAGAAATTCTCATACTTGCAGTCCTCCAGAATGCCTTCCAAAATGACCGGGCCGATTTACAACAGAAATTGACGAAATACCGTTGCTTTCCAATTGTCTAAGTCGTCGAAACCCCGACGCTTACGTTGAAAGTCGCAAGGTAGACGAGAGTTGACTGCATATAAACGATCCGAGATTCGGCATAAGTCCGTTGCGGTAATTCTGGTATTATTCGGAATAGGTCCTGTCCTCCACAGTTTCAGTAGACGCTTACAGAAACCTAAACAAACCAGGTGCATGTAATCCAATGAGA